TTGTTTGGTTGAAAGGAGAATCACTTCTCTATATAATCACTTTAAGTGGTTTTAAGTGATTTTATGGAGAAGCACATGGGAGGTGATTCTTCCCCGAATCACTTAAAATCACTTAAATTGATTATATTGAGAAGTGAGAGGTGCTTCTCCCCAGAAGTGATTATGGTATATCCAGAATCACTTAATATTACAATGGTTTTGTTCGTTTAAGAGAAGAGCCAAGATACAATGATAGCCCAATCCTTACACAACTATATGCAAATGTTAGGTGCGAACTTGTAGCTAGAATGTTGAATAAACTTGGACAATTGAGATTATAAATTCGTTCCAATTAGGTTTCACGTAGAAGCGAGTTTATAAAAAAAACCATGACCGGTTGGATTATCTTCCTCTCTGTCCACCTTCATCTCTTCTCCATATTTTTCTTTTAGGGTAATTATCAGTTCACTACTACAAAGTTGTCCGTGTTTTAGAGTTAGATACAACAAGTTTTTTTCGTCTCAGTTGCATTTGTTACATTTAATCCCATACCAATCTCATATATTCGTTAGTTAATCCGTCAGGACCTTCGTTAAAAGCTGACGTGGATCCATCCAGTGAGCCCCATACTAAATGATTCCCACTAAAATGCTGATGTGGTCAGTTATCCCCCCAAGTCAGCTGTCACGTGGCCTGACATCTTTATTAAAATTTCTAAAAATTTTCAAAAACCAACACCCCATAAAAGGATAGGAGCTTCATTAACATTAATTTAAATTTCGGGATAACCCAAAATTTGTAAAAAAATAGAATAATTTACTTTAACTCGAGAGCTCGTTCTCACGATCATGTAGGCGAAAACAATTCATTATTTAGAGCTCTAGAACAAAACTTATGAATTTCAAAAGTTTTGCAGCTTCAGGTTGCATGAGGAAGACGGAAGCAGCCATCGACTTATGAGGTTTTATCCACCAGCTGGTTCTTGCCTTTCTTTATTCTAGCCCAACTTCCAAAATTCATTAAACATATGTATGGGCTTTGAAAAGTTCACCGGAAAAATACTCCGAACTCGTAATCAAATGTACTTTCAACTTTAAAAAAAAAAAAATTATTATTATTTTTTTAAATATCAAAATGTACTTTTTTTTTTTTTTGGTTTGAACCATGAGGTGGTTCTGGATGAGCCCCAACTATGGGTGGCACCTTTAAGCCTTAACCACAACCCAGACTAATCCCCACTCATACCGGGTCGGCCCGTAAGGGGTAAAGTATTGGCCAAAGTGGTGACTCCGTACGAGAGCAGGGATCGAACCCCTGACCTCTCTTAAGGAATGAGAGTGCCGAACCACTCACACCAACCACCTTGGTTAATATCAAAATGTACTTTCAATTAGGGTAATAATCACCATTTTTTATCAAGAAAATTTTAAATATTTTCTTGAATTCTTCTAATTAACCACAAATAACAATAATCCAAATACGTTTCCAAATTTTTTAAAAATATTTTCTAAGTAACATAACATATTCAGGGTCCCACATTTTGTTTACATGGCATCCATTTTTAAAATTAGGTTTTAGTTAGAAGTATAAAAGCTTATGGTTGTTTTTCTAGACTACTAGATAGGGATCATCATTTCACCCGCGACGACGCGTAGGTCAAAGTGGGTAGCCCAAGGCTCAATGGGCCAAAGCTCAGTTTGGCCTTGTCCGATGATTAGGCCCCCTTGGCCCAGCCCGCTCTAAGGTTGGGTAAGGCTTAAGCTTAGGATTTGAAACCCTCAGCCCGCCCTTGGCCTAGCCTAGAACCGGTTGCCTATGCCCTTCTTTTTTTAAAAGTTTAATTAATGCACTTCCTAACCTCATTTTTATACTTAATCAAAATATTGTAATATGTATGATAAACTAATAAAATTCTTATTTTGTTTACACACGTTATAAATTAAGTTAATTTTTTCAATGATTTCTAAATTTTTTAACAAACAAGCAATATATACACTATATCTTTTAGTCCCCCCTTTTTGTTAAGTTCAAATTTAATGGTTCGATAAAGAATTTGAAAGCTTATTTTGGTTTTATTAATTCTAATAGCACAAATTGCTTTAATTTTCATGATGTCAATCATAGTTTGGGATAAAAGTAATACATTTTTATAAGATTCATTTTTAGGTATGATATTTTTTTATATAAATATATTGGCTATTGGTCTAGGTTTAGTACAAGAGTTTGGATATTCTATTTTTATTTTATGAAGTTATGTAGTAATTTATACTATTTTTAAAAAGAAGACTCTTTATCCATCACTTTTGATAAATAAAAAAAGAGTGCTGTTATACGAACCCTAAAATTAAATGAGTACACCATACTATCAAACTATTTATTGAATTACAAATTTACCCTAATATAAAATAACCAAAAAGGATATATTGAATTGACCCATGTCTAAAGCTCTCTCCAATTTTGCCTCAAATGCAGTAGACTTCCATTTCACTTTCTGATCCTGCTTTCTCTTTGACCTCCTTCCATTGAGTAAGATTTTCAATGGGTTTCAGCACTGATTGATCCCTAGAATTTTGGTTTGATCCTATTCGATTAACTTCCTGGTTAGAGGCACTGAGCTTTGGCATTGGACTGTTGACCTCCTTCTCATCTATTTCAGCATCATAAACTTGTTTCCTGGAATCTATCGATAGCGAAAACAATGATTCGGAAGACTCTTCTTGAATTGAGATTTGCTGCTTACTGTAGGGGCTTTTTTCTTCCGGCAGCAAGTGGGCTGGGCTGATGAAGTTGTCCCCTTTGTTTGAGTTCGAAAATTAAGCCCCAAAATGCTTCGAAAGGGCAGCAAAGCCTTAGGAAGTATTTTGGTTATCTTCTCCAACAAAAACAACAGCAAGTTACAGATAATTTCTTCACACTCACAGATGAACTTTTGGGCTTGGCATGAGGGGCATGTGGCATGAGAGCAAAATTACCATGGGTTTAGCACTTTGGGAAAGAGAAAGTTTGTGGGTTCCTATGAAGGTTAGAGGTTCTAATGGAAGAGAGGAGAG